CTGTGAACGTCCTTCTCTGTTTTCAGAATTTCTGGATGATAACAAATCTCTTGTGTGTCCAGGAGAGATGTCAGTGAAAGGACACAATAACCTAAAGCTGTGTTTTTGTAAGTTCTTTCAAACAGATACTTGTAGCTATACCTTTTATTGTGCAGTTTTCAGGAACGGACGGTGAAAATATCGACACTAATATATAGGAAGAAGATCCGAACTGCTTCGTTATGTTACTCGATACTTTAGAAGGATACTGCCTCACGTCACTACCAGATAGCAGGATGAAATTCTTAAGTAGAGTACTTAGCAAAAGCTAACCATCCTTTTTAATTTATAGATGTCCAGAAATTTTGAAATTCTTTTCTAAGCTTTATCATTTAATTTCCTGAAGTTCTAGCTAAGTGAGTGCCAATATTTTCTTTAATAGTAATTGGAAAATCGCCTAACTTTGTTAATATATGATATATTCTGGTATCATATAAATCCCAAATTATTAACATAATCCCCTCTTTCAGACATTCACCTATAATAAGTAATTTTCATCATTATCAATAAATTCTAATAAGAATATTTTTTCTATTTCATCAAATTTTTTTGATGCGATTTGTAAACCATTTTCCATATAATATAACCTAAGTAAATATAAATTATTCAATTTCACCGTAAAAATAATTTGATAAATAACACATAACTTTGCTATATAAAAACTTACTTAATAATATTAATTCCTCGAGTAAAACAAAGCTGTAATTTACTAACTGAAAACGTATCATAATTGTACTGTTTTACATATTTTTCTTTATCTTCGACTCTTTTTGCAACTAAAATTATAATGATGTATTTTTAACATAATTATGATTATATAGGAGATTAAGAATTTAAAGTTTCTCACCTTCGAGTGATTGGACATCATTTTTGTATTGTGTGACCAAAAAATATTTGTCGTAAACACACGTGAGAAGTCGTTTCATACAATCTGTGCCTGAATCCGTATACCAATTATCTAGTTCATCGTCTAATAGATTGTGGATATTTAAATTTCTCGTTCAAATTAAAATAATCAAAGTGACTATTAAATTCAAAATTATATATTCCACGAAAGTTAAATATAATAAATCTTCTTTGTTCAACATCATCATCATTTGTAACTTCTATAAAGCTACATATTCCTGAAATGCTATCAGAATAATAACAAGTAACATTGTTAAAAATATAATTTTTCTTCTCTTCTTTTAGTTCAAGACGATAAAAAGCAATTCCTTTTTTAGCTTTTTTAGTTGTATTATCAGGAATTGTAATACGTTAATCATCCTTTTCTTAATTAGGTGTATTAGGTGGAACAGGCTGCTCCTCGCTTTTTCCTTGAACTCGGCCAATTCTTGCGTAAATTCAAGCTTTTCTAAAAAATCGAATTTTGTATTATCACGCTTATTTTCTTTCATATCCTCGTTAACGTTTCGCGAGATACGGTGACAAGAATATAATATTCATCATCGTTCTTATGTAAATTTGATACATCAAAGGACCATCTAAATGCATCACTCTTTTCATCCTCTTTTGCATCATCATCGCCTGTGTTGAGTTTTGATTCTTGGTTAAAGGAAGGGGGCTTATGGTTTTTATCGTAAAACTTACTAATAGTAAAATTATGATTATTTATTCTAAAATAAGCAAATTGTTTTATCAATCACATCAGATTTTTCGGATTTTTTATTATCAGACTCTTTCATATTGAATGTGCGATGATCAGTATTTTCCAATATTTTAATGCGAAGGTTTGCTTTTTTTTTAAAAATAAATAAATAAATAAATAAATTTTTTATCGATATACCGCATATTTAAAATATTCCAAATAATTATTTACCCGTATCAAATGTAATGGCAAATTTTCCATCTTGACAAATTGCAATTCGATAATCTTCTTTCTTATTAGTATCATCATTAGTATTGTCGCTCTTATAGCTTGAGTTCTTTTTATTATTAAATAAGTTTTGTAATTCGTATTTTTTTAATCATATCTTTAATTATATTCTTAATTATCATGACGATCTTGATCATTATCAACGTTGGTCTCATTGTGTGGGTTTTCATGTTTTTTGTTAAAAGACATTTATCAAATATTTTAATTCGTTTAATTCGGAAAGTTGAATGAAAGCGAAGAAGGAATAAGCAAGAAGTAATGTAAATTTCAGTTTTTTTGCAAAATAAAGTTTTTTTCATTTATCTAATAATTGTTAATATTAAATTTTTTTATTGAAAGATCCAAAATCAGTAATTTTATTCCCTGTTCAATAGATACAATATTTTCAAAAACATTATTTGCATAAATATTTACCCGAAAAGTAACGTACGAAAAAAGATAATACAATGAACTGGGGTTGAGTTCGTTGAACTAAAACAAATATTAATTGAAATCAGGGGTAGTTAAAAATACTGTATTTGGGTCTTTTTGCAACAGTATTAGTAATGGTTAGTATAAGAGACTAAGCAAAAGGGAATCGTTAATCGATTCAAATTATCTAGCCTAATTCTGGTCAAATTATCATCTAATGCGACCTAGGGATGCGTCATTTCGGTCACGTGCTTTTCAAGCTTTTTAACAATAAAATAGTATTAGATAGTTACCTATGTAGCTGTATCTTTTGCATCTGCTGTAATTCGTTTTGTCTTTATCATAAAAACAAAAGTAAAAAAATAAGGTTAATAAAATATGACTATTTTACAAGTGTTTAAAAAATTGGCTAAAATATATTTAATATTTTTTTAATAATACCTGATTAATTAATCGGTTAAATGGTTAATCTGCTGCTGTAGGGATGGGAACGACTCGCTCGGTTCGTTTCCATAATCGGTTTTTGTAACTTCGGTTCAGACCCAAAGTCAGTACATATCAAAATTTTATCAAAACGACAAAACCGATTTGAAACCGATGTACCAAACCGAATGGAACGAACTAACTGACTCAAGTCGCTAAACTCGAACTTTTTCCTTCCCTATTAATTGGTTTTAACCGGTTAAAGTTTTTTGGTCGGTTCCAACCTCTATCATTGTATTTTATTGAAGATTCTTATAAGGAACCTCTCGATACAACTGGTACTTTGTCGCCAGTCTTGGATCTTCCCACAATAACCCGGCCAAAAGAATTATTATATTCAGGATTTATTATATAAAGTTACTACTAAGTTATTTGATTATATAGGAATTCAGTATCCTATTTTAATTTAATGAATGAAAAATTTTGTCAATTTATTGAAAGAATATAACATTTATTATTCTAATTTACGAGGTGCTCAAATACAAAGTCTTATCCTGAATTCAATTTGCCATAAATAAATATATAATCGTAAAACTATGTTCAGTTAAAAAAAAAATACGTTATTTGACGAAAAACTATCACAAGTTGCTAAATCGACTAATCTTTTATCCAAAAAAAATAGAAAGTAACGTAAATAACGTGGGCGAAGGTTTTTATATTAATAATTTTTTATATATGACGGCTATACTAATTTTCGCCCCAGTTCCCATTGGATCCGACGTGAATCCGGATGATTACAAATGATTACAAATCAAAAAAATTCCAGATGTTGATCAATCGAACCCGGTTCACCATCCAGAATTAATGAAAGTAGTACAGCCATATCATTGCTAAAATCAGAAATTGATTTGACGTCAGGCTGACCGTCTATAAAAAAAAAATCTTAAAAAAAGATTCGATAATTAATTCCAATCTCTACATAAACTTCCATTTTTCTTTATTAACTATCGACATTTTAGATAAATTACTGCTGAGCGGACCTTTAAGTCCGATTTTATTGACTTTTGAATTTATAATTGATGTATGATTGTGTTTGTTTGGCAAATCTACATAATGCATGCATGATCTGAAACTTTTTCATTAAATATATTTCGGATCAAAGAACTTCCTCATAGTTAATTAATTAATTAATTCATTGTTCATGCTTATCTATTATGCATATTATTAATCGGAATCATTTGGGATAAGTGATAATATAAAAGAATTTAAGTGATAAACAGATGTGACATTTAATTATATCCTTTTAAAACTTAATTTAGTAAGTAAAATGGAGATTTTCGGAACTAAAGACAAAATTTTTACTATTTATGGTTAGCAATAATATATCTTTATCTTTACAAAATAAGTAACGCAATAAATGAAAATAACGAATTTGTTCTAAAGTTAAACCTCTTCTAATCCGAAATAATCATTCTCGGGTTTAACATTAAATCTAACTGCCGTATGACTATTTGTAATTTCATTAGGACGATCAGTACATTCGGGTAAATTAATTCCACTTTTCGCAGTACTTCGCAATAAAGCTATATGCTTAAAGCCAATATCAGATGCCAACCACCACGCTTTATTTTTACTAAATAATAGTGGTAAAAGCTCAATAACTATCATTATTGATGGTATAAATATCATTAAACCGATCGTTAAAATCGGGTTACTTCCTCCTATACACACTTTATGCGTAACTGTTAAGGAACCAGTTGATCCACTCTTTTCTATCCATTCATTTACGTTAATGAGATTATCAACGGGATACATAATATTTGCAGCTTCTAAACGAGCTCCAAAATATCGTATAGCTGCTGCTGTTCCCAATTCTTGTGCACAGGTAACGTTTCTTGCTTCACAGTTCCATTGGTTAAGTAATTGTTGAAGAACATTACTAGAAATTATATCATTATTAACATTATATGTAGGTCGTGCTAAAACCTTTTCCATTATATTAAACATCTCATCTCTAAGTTCATTTAAATCTCTCATCTCATCCTTTCGCAACAGAATTTCAGCCAGTTGTTCACCACGAGGTAGATTTTCCGGATAGACTATTGTTGTACTAGGAAAAACTCCTCCTTTTAGAGTTATGGAACAAACCAGTCGTATAGAGCCCGTTTTACCAGGCAAATTGCACATATCCCATAAAAGAGTTTTATTGTCTTTACTAGCTTTTGTATAAATTATTGTTTCTTCCTGTATAAACTGTTCCGTATTGCAAGAAGGATTTGGATCAACATCACATTGAGCTGTTATGTATTGCATGTTAACATTATCATATTTCGCCTCTACTTTCCACTTTAATAAATTATCTTTAAGATTGCTACCATCTAATGCATCTTTAATATTGTTAAGTGTTATTGGTAGGAATGCTACCTCTTTGTTAGTAGCAGCAGTCTTTTGAACCCAACGTGCTAATGAATTATATTGAATTGAGGATATCCCACTCAAGAAATCTTTTGGTAGAAATGCATTATTTAAGCTTACACGCAGTTCATCATTTGGAATTGTTGGAACTTGTACCCATTTAATTGGGGAACTATAATAAACATAAGACGTTCCTAACTCAGATGCAGCATAACCACCAACACCAACGCTTGCAAAATATACTATTAAAGTACTTGTATATAGAAATATCTGGTAGAATTTTCCATATTTTTGTTCTTTGTAATCTTCAGTTCCACTTTTTTTATATTTAAATATAGTTAAACATGCTGCTAAAATCCGTCCTGGAGTTTGTTCTCCACTCATGATCGCATGAAGAGGAATTCCATGACTTTTAAGTAAAAAATAACCCTGCACGTAAGAAAACATATGAGCAAGTGTCGCTTGAGCCAGTGCACCAAGTATAATGGCCACAATAAATGATCCGAAACTCATCAAATACTGAAGCTCAGGAGAATAATTTGGCTGTTCTCCACAAACCTCGAGCAAAACACCCCATGTAAATATTATTGCAGTTAAGATTAATCTTATTAATGAATCCCGCCATTGCCAAGTTGCAAGTGGCACATCTTGAAGATTTCTCAGTGACATTCTACAAAGTATGAACTAAAAACTTATAGATATTTGGATTTATAATACATTTATATATAAATAATTTTATTGAAAAAAAAAATCCATGAATCGATACTGATTTCTTGTTATGGTTAGTATTTTACCATCAGTATTTTGAAACAAATGAAGAAGCTGTAATACAAAATTAATAATCAATTTTGTTGAAAAAATATGATTGGCGGATAAAATGAATCACATTATTATTTATCATTCCAAAACATCACAGAGGAAAATCCCCTTTTTCTAATTTTAATAAAAAAAAGGGGAGGACTTTCATAAACTTAACTACGTCTTATTATTTAAATTTTTACATTTATTTTATATTTAAATAAACGCTAGTAAAAAAATGCAATTATCAAAATTAATTATTTTAATAGCACTAAGAGTTTTTAATCATATTATTTTAGCAAATTGTGTAATAAATTTTGGAGGCGATGGATATAAAAGTTTTTTAGCTGGTGATAAATTATATTATTTCAGTGATATAAGTAATTTTTTTCATGTAGACTTAACAGGCGTATCATTAGATACTAATACCGTTATTGATCGATCCAAGTGGATTGACCTTACCGATATGAGACCTCAACCAATCACATCTATTTCTCGTTACCCATTATTGAGTGGTAAAGATAATGATAAAATAATTTTCTTTAGTAATGTCGGTAATTTCTACATTAACATATTTGATACTAAATTAAATAAATGGGAAGTGATGAATCAAGATCCCAAATTCTTTTTAACCCGTATACAAATTCCTGATTTTTGGAGTGTTTCTAATGAATGGATTACAGATAGAAAAACTGGCAAATCTTATACATTTCAATCAATTTTAGACGGAGTATCAATATTTGATTCAATTAATTTGGAATTAACACAAAGCGCTTCAAGTCCGAAAAATCTTTTTGGTAATTCCTTTAGTTCGTACATCGACTTTGCACAGGTTATATTGCCAAATGGTTTAGTTCTGTTTATTGGTGGAAAAATTGGTAATAAAGCACAATCGATGGGTAACATTATCGCCTATAACACCGTAACGGATTCATGGCAAATACTGGTATGAAACCTTTTATGATAAAAATGCACCAACTGACAACTAATTAAATTTTTTTTTGAAATCTAGAATACGGTAGGTGAAACGCCAGGAGGACGTATCAAACATACGGCTGTTCTAAGTAAGCCTTAAACAAACTTGTTATATACATATATTATTTTTAACGTTACTAAATTTTAATTTTAATTTTTTAGCTACGGATGGACGTGTTATTGTATTTGGTGGAGTATCAAATTTATTACCAGCTTCACCAGATTTATCAATCTTGGACACCTCAAAAACACCATATGAGTGGTCAACACCAGTAGTAGAAAATCCTATTGAATCTTTAGTTCTTGGTGAGCATACATCGATCATAGTTAAAAACTTTATGATTTCTGCATTCGGTAAATGTAACTTTGTAATCTATTTTTTAAAAAAATTTTTACACAAGATCAGTAATTAATCGTTATTTTTTTTTTAATTTCGAAGGTAAAAATGCATCAGAATCATCAGACTCAATAACTGAAATATTTACATCATCTGAAAATAAAAATATCTATAAATTGGATATATCAGATCCACTAAAGTATAAATGGTCATTATTTGCTAAAAATGATGACGAGACTCCTACACCAACAAATTCTACTCCCATTCAGACGAATGCATCTGACTCATCATTTGCATTAAAGTTACGTTTGATTATTATAATCATAGTTATAGTATTGGTCATTATATCCATAACAATATTTGGTTTTTACAAAATAAAGCAATATAGAAGAAAAAATACTAATAAATCAAATATATCAAACAATGATGAATTAGAAACAAGTTTAAATTGAAAGAAATAATCCCTTGGTATTTATAATAGGATTATAGATTTTTTTGGTTTTACAGTAAGTTTATTAGCATATCTAAATTATTTTTTAAAAATAAAATAAAATATTTTTGCATTCAATCCTTTTGAAGATTGGTTGTCCAATGAGAATTGCATTAGTTATATACGTATATCGAATATACAGTAAGTGATATCGTATGGACAAAACTAATTTTTAATTAGTAAACAAAATTTTTAGTCGATATAGTTGATATTATATGTTTTCCCATAAATTTCCCACCCGTGTGATACTAGTTAATATAATACATAAAGAATAGATGAAATATGTTATGTGTAATCAGAAATACGGAGCTCGTCTAAAATTATCCAGGCTGAATTATCAGGCGGCGGAGGTTGAGAATTAACAGAAAATATCCATAATTGGCGAGAAAAAGATCATGAGCATTGTCGAGTTTCTTTAGTTTGAACATGATTTCGCCATTCTTGAATTTTTGGTTACGAAGAAAAATTAATTGTTCACCAATATCACTTTACTATCCATATTATTTGTCCATGATTAATTTCTAGTGAGTATTCTTAAAAAAGACCCTGGGTTTATTGTCTAATGAGCAATCACGCACGTGACAGTACTTTAAAAAATTTGTACACGGTCGAAAATTAACTTCATACTATCACCGTGATATCATAATCTTATTATATAATAAAGGGGATTCTTTACGGTTCAACTCTTTTTGTTCTATTCTTTTTTACATCTATTAATACATTTTTTTTAATGAACGTTAAATAAAATAAAAAATGCAATTATCAAAATTAATTTTTCCCGCAGCGTTAATAATTTTTAATCATGTTATTCTCACAAATTGTGGTTTATTCGGGGGAAGTGATCTTTATTCGTTTTTTAGTGGAGATAAATTATATTTTTTTAGATCTATAAAATATAATTTTTTTTATGTGGATTTAGCTGGTGTATCATTAGACACTGATACTGTTATTGATAAATCTAAATGGATTGATCTCACTGAGGTTAAACCTCAACCTGACACTTCAGCTAGAGAACCACTTTTGGATAAAGCTAATGAGAACTTAATTTTGCTTGATTATACCGATGATGGCGTAGATGCTTACACATTTCACATTACATTAAACATATGGGAAACAAGACCATTTAAAGTTAAAAATAAAGTATCTATTGGCATAGGAGTTTGGGTTTCAGATGAAAAAACTGGCATATCATACTTATTCGATGAAATTGATAAGGACATGACAATATTGGATTCAATTAATTTGACATTGACGAAAAGTATTTCAACCGCGGATAATCTTTTCGTAGAAGGGTTTGTTATGGATAATTTTGTACAAGTTTTGTCGAATGGCCAAATTCTGTTTATTGGTGGAGGATCTGGAAGTATTAAAGATTCAATGAACAATATATTAATGTATGATACCTTAACTGATACATGGCAAATGATGGTATTTATTTAATCTACTGGTGAAACGATAAATAAAATTACATAAATTGATGATTAATCAAATTTTTTTTTGTACATTAATACAATAGAATGCAACAGGTGAAACACCTGAAGGACGTTTAGGGCATACAGCTGTCTCAAGTAAGCATTAAACCAAGCTTAAAATATACTGTATAATTTTATTATCAATTTATTTATTTATTTTTTTAGTTTCAGATGGACGTATTATCGTATTTGGCGGAATATCAAATTCATTACCAGCTTCGCCACAATTATCAATTTTGGATACCTCAAAAACACCATACGAGTGGTCAACACCAACGGTAGAAAATCCTTTTGGACCTTTCACTTTTAGTGGACACATAGCAGTCATGGTTAAAGATTATATGATTATTGCATTTGGTAAATATTAACTCAGTTGATCTTTCATTTTTTTTGGAAAAAAACTACATAATAATATTTTTTTAATTTTTTGAAGGTATAAATACAACAGAAACAATACCTTCATTAATTGATAATAAAAATATTTATAAATTAGACACGAGAGATCCATTAAAATATAAATGGTCTTTTCTTTCCGGTTTTGATGATAGAACTGATTTTTCTAATAGCTCTCTTAATATTTATAAACCAACGAATTCTACTCCCATTCAAGCTAGTGTTGATTCAGCTTTTAGATTAGGAACACGTAATATTGTTATTATCGTATTTGCGGTGATCGTCTTTATATGCATATCAATATTCGTTTTTTATAAAGCAAAGCAACATAGAAGTAAGAATACTATTCAACGAAATATATCTAGTAGTGAAAATATATCTAGTAATGATGAGTTGAAAGCATGATTTAAAGAAAAATATTACGTTAATAGTATCAATGCTAAAAGAGAAAATTAGATTATAATTTATAAAACATTTTCTTCCCTCTTAATATTGAAAAACAACGATACTATCACTTTTCTTATTATATTAAAATCATTATTATATTAAATGCATTAAAAAAAAATTAAGTTCTGTATATATTTTATTTTTATTTTATTTTAAAACTAGTAAATATCACTATGCCCAGCATAGTAAAACAATAAAATGTGTGCCGATTCAAAAGTTTTTTTAATTGGCCGTATGCATGCAGCTGATAACAGCACTGTCAACCACGTTTCGGAATTATTATTTACTTTATTAAGTAATAATTAGTAATATGTTGACAAATTAAAAACATAACACAAAAAGAATTCTGTAAATATGTATCACGCTTTTTTTTAAAATTTCCATGAAACGAAAATAAATAAAAAAAAGGAAAAAAGTCAAAGAAATAAAAAAATTGTAACATTTAAATTATTGCATAATCCATTTCCTAATGATTTGAAATTTTTATTTGGTTTATTATTATTGAATGATTAATGATTAATGCAAAGTCCGAATTTTTTTTTTTCATTCTTTTCCAAGAATAGTTTCTATCGTACAAAACAAATGTTTCACGAAATTAATTTTTATCACATTTATCACATTTATCACAGTGATATTTAGTGACAATTTTTAATTTTTCTCTTTCTTTTAATCGGTTTAACCCTTTTCATCCCGTTCCTTTTTTTTTGACATTTTTATATTAAATATCATACGTAAAAAAACATGCGGTGCTTATTATTATCAAAATTAATAATTTCTATAACTTTAATAATCTTTAATCAGATTATTTCATCTAATTGTGCATTATTTATTGATACTAAAGCAATTTTTATAGGAGACAAATTGTATTGTCTAGATCTTACGCAATTTTTTTATGTAGATTTAGCAGGCATATCATTAGATACTGATGAACTTGTTAAACAATCTAAGTGGATAGACCTCACAAATATTAAACCTAAACCAGATAACCTTGGATTCCGTAATCCAATTCCGAGTGGTAATAAAATAATGTTTTTAGATGAATTCGCCGGTAATTTCTATGTCAATGCATTTGATACTACGTTAAAAAAATGGGAAATAAATCAATATGTCAATAATGTACAACAACCGAAATTGTTTATTCCATTTACAAATTGGATTTCTGATGAGAAAACTGGAAAATCCTATTTAACTCAAACACTTTTGAATGAGAAAGTGTTAATATTCGACACAATTAATATGGTACTGAATATTAGTGCCTCAGTTCCGAAAATCTTTTCAGAAAAATACCCTTCCGGAGGTTTTCTTAATTCCTATGATAAATATGTCCAAGTTTTAATTCCCAATGGTCAAATTTTATTTATTGGTGGAATAATCAATAATATAAATCTGCCAATGGATAGTTTATTAGTTTATGATACCATAAATGATATATGGCAAATTTTGGTATTTAAATTTTTTTAATCTATTGATGATTAAATTATCATAATAACTAATCTTTTTTTCTTGTAAATACAAATAGAACACAACCGGTAAAGCGCCTGAAGCACGCACCGATCATACAGCTGTTTCAAGTAAGCATTATATATATATATGAAAATCTTTACAAATTTTTGTTTATAATTATTAAAATTTTTATATTCATTATTTATTTGTTATAGCTTCGGATGGACGTGTTATTGTGTTCGGTGGAGTATCAAAGCAATCTACACCAGCTTTGCCACATTTGTCAATCTTGAATATCTCAAAAACGCCATATGAGTGGTTAACACCAATAGTAGAAAATCCTATTGGAGCTTTTAGCGGACATACATCAGTCATGGTTAACAATTATATGATTTCTGCATTTGGTAAATACAATTTGCTTATGTTTAATATAATAAAATAATAAAATTTATTAATCCTAATAATTATTTGAATTTTTAAAGGTAAAAATGAATCAAATAAAGATCCTTTAATAAACAGCCTCAGCGAAGATTTTTATAAATTAAATGTGTCAGATCCATTGAAATATAAATGGTCCTTATTAGCTAAGTATAATTACCGTGACAATTCACCTAAAACAACACAAACGGCATTTGTTGGTAACAATAGTTTTGCTCCTTCTGAAACGGAAGTATCAGCTGTTGCAAACTCATCTTTTAATGAAGATGTATCAAGGACACGTTTGGCTGTTATAATTATATTTGTAATAATAATCCTTATATGCATTTTAATTCTTTTTTATTATTATAAAAAAAAGCAAAATAACAAGGAATCAAGCAGCAATAATGAAACAAAAAATATCTAGTATAATCTTATTTACGATATATTTTTTTTACAATTTATTGTGGTAGTAAATACACGGTTGTACGACCAATTGATTTTTATAGTTATGGCGATAGACATTTTGGCGACAGCATACTTCACCTAGTCCATTTCACTAAATTTCCAATTTATCAAAATCAAGCTTTATGTTTATTTAATAAATACATGGAGTATGAATTAGATTCAGTTCATATTTCGAATCACGTATGTTCAAGCTACCAATAAAAATTCGTGTTATCTCTACCATGACCATTTTTATTCAAAATAAAATATTGACATAAATCCTTCATAAAGTTTTTATAAAACCGAGTGTAAAAAAAAGTGAAGAGTAATGATGAAATAAAGCATGATTAATATACAGTATAACGACATAATTAAAATTTTATTTGTATTATTTATTTCATGGGGAGTTGGAAATAATAGGGTTTCCCTTCCCGGGTAATCCCCAGGAGTCGGGTCACCATTAAATTTAACATGTGATTAAATTTTAAACTAAAATTAGAAATTTTCTGGCTATCTATACGAGACCGGGAAATAAGTATAAACTCAGCTAATTATTTGCAATTTTCAAAAATTAGTATGAATCAAAATTTACTGTGGAAATCACATTAATCAACGCACATATTGGAATTTTCGTCGCAGAGACGCAGAGTATTCTCGTGATCTCTAGAATAAAGACAACACAAAGTTAGCCATGAGGGATAATTAGTGTGACAGGGATTAGTATTATTTATTGACTTTATTTACATTAAGATTATTATTTATTCTATAGAGTACATTTATAATGTCGCGTATATTAATTGTGAAATACTATTATTTTTTTTGTTTACTGGCTGAGGTTTACCCACATTATTGTATACAGCACGTAATATTATACACAGTATTATTATCAAAAGTCATCTTTCGTAGGAAATTTTTTTTTAATTATATATAATTAATAAGTTTATTATTCTCACTACCAAATAGTATTTTATGATAAATATAACTTTCGTTAGTTTCCGTTATCAATTACTAACTAATCTTTTTTTAGATCTGACATTAAACAATTATGTAATGGTTTTACAATACGAGAATATAGCTCCAATGGAGTGATAAAAATCGGATGGCATCAGAAATTGCTTGTGGATTGAAGATTTTATTCATGTGAGTAAGTACAAGTAATATTTCTAATGTAAATATATAATATAAATCTATGTTATAAAATATATTATTAGTCATAAACTACATCGTTATCAATCATTATAAAAGATATTGGTGTAACTATGAACAATAATGAATAACATGATTATTGCTGTTACAATTGTTACAATATGATAAGAAAAATTATAATGCAAAATATTGGTGTAACTATGAGTAATAATGAAAAATATAGAAAGATCAAATTATAAAATCAATATGTGTCATATTTATTAATTTTTTGTAAGATTTTTTTTCTTTTTTTGGTACCTTCTTGTAATATTAACAACATCAATAAAGATGAATTCAGTATTATTGAGGCAATTTTTTTTTTTTATTTAAAGGCCTGCAATTTGCCAAATATTTTTTTGTAATTTTTATTTTTTGCAACTTATTTTTTTAAAAACTTTATTTTTTTTTTGCAATTTATTTTTTTAAAAATCAATATTTTTTGCAATCTTATTTTTTGTAATTATTTTAAAAATCGATATTTTTTTGCAATTGATTTTTTTTTTTTTGCAAATATTTTTTGCAAATATTTTTTTTGCAATTTATTTTTTTTTGCAATTTATTTTTTTAAAAATCAATATTTCTTATAATTTTTGGAAAATTAATATCTATACCTTGGATGCCATTACTCATTATTGCTTCTTCTTCATCATTTTTTGGTCTTGAGAACCTGGACTGAAAAGGTGTGTATTTTTTATTTTGCAAGCTTAGGGAGCTTAGGACTTTAGGAATCAGTGGAACTGAAGGACCATGACAGTAGGGACCACATACTAGGTAGCATGGTATCGTCTTTCTGTAACAGTGGTATCCTGAAGGACCATGACAGTAGGGACCACTTAGGTAGCATGGTATCATTTTGTGACAGTAAGAACCACTTGGGTATATTGGTATAATTTCTTTATATCTGAGGTGTCCTAAGTTTGACTTAAGTTTGTTGTTGGTAAAGGTCTGTTGGTTCTGATATGAAGAAGAACTGGCTATGTACCTTCCTTTATCCTAAATAAAATGTTCGCACTACTAACTAATATCTTATATTAATAGGCAAAATTAGAACACTAATGCCGATCAGCATTACATAGTGCCGGCCCTGAAGAAATGCGTAGAGCTACAGTAATAGCTGATCTATATATATAAACAATAGAATTCGTCGATGTCACGGGATTATTCCGATCACGCGATTTAGAACCGGTCGGAAATCGAAATCGGCAAGTTTATGTAACACTGCAGACATTGTGCATTATAAATATATTTTATTATTCATTTCCCTCATTAAATTCAATTATAATGGTTGAAAATTTTTTGCCAAAATTATCTCAAAATTTGCTTGATGTTTTAAATGATGAAGAATTTTATGATATTACTATTGAAGTTGGTAAAGACCCTTACGTAAAAATATTTCGTGCACATGTAGTTATTTTATATTATCGTTCCCCTTATTTGAAAAGAATTTTATCAACTAATAAAAAGGAAAATGATAAAACTTTGGCGCACATTAAATTACCAAATATTTCACCAGAAATTTTTCAAATAATTTTAAGGTACTAAATAAATTGATATCATACATTATTATTTTTTTTGCTTTTTTTTCAGAAAGTAGAAATATATTCATAATTTTTTTTTTTTATTATAGATATATTTATGGAGGTAATGTTTCTTTAGAGGAGTGTGATGCTTTAGATATCATTAAAATTTTGGGTGCTGCAAGTGAATTAAGTCTTCATGAATTAGTCACTTATTTACAATCCCTTTTGGTTGAAAATAAAACAAAATGGATTGAAGAAATTTTAATTTTGTATATCAAACAAGTTTTGAAAACAATTCTTTCTTGGAACTTCAAAAATATTGTACTGATTTAATATCAAAAGAGCCAGATAAGATATTTAAATCACCAAATTTTTCTTCAATTCCGGAAAAAATTTTGATATCTCTTATTCAAAATGATTATCTTCAAATGAGCGAAGTTCAAATTTGGGATCAAGTAATTAAATGGGGAATCGCTCAAAATTCAGATCTTTCCTCTGATTTTACAAACTATTCAAAAGACGATTTCAAAACTTTAAAAAATACTTTACAACATTGTATTCCATTTATTAAATTTCATAATTTAACTTCTAAAGAATTTATGGATAAAGTATTACCTTGCAGAAAACTTTTACCAAAAGAATTATATGAAGATTTATTAAAAGCTTTTTTGAGTCTTTCAGATCCCGATAGCAAGCCAATAAGTAAAACAAGACATCATAAAACTAATGATAATTTATTCTTAAAAAATAACGATTTTGTAATGGAGGATGTTAGTGGACAAGCTGAACAATCTGTAATTACTGAACGAGATGAACTAATGAATGATAATGATATAATTATGGATGATGATAGAATTATGAATGATACTATAATTGATTGGAACGAAATAAAAAAGTTTAGTGAAAAAGATAAGAAAGTGATTGATGATGACGATATTTACGGTAAGGTTTAGATAGTTTGAATCTCAAAATCCTATTTCTAAAATTTCTGAATTTAATTTTTACAGAGGCAATTGACAATTTAATAATATACAGTATTTCAGCAAATTATTGTAATTGGTATTGTAATTTATTAAATTATTACGTAATATAGTACAAAAAATGAAGGAAATAAAATAAATCAAACTATTTTGTAATGTGATTAAAAATATGAGTATACAAAGTAGTATAACGGGAAAAAATAATTCCAAATATACAGTATGTACAAAAGGGTGTATTTTCGCTACAATAAATTAATGAATGTAAAGTGTAATTTTGCCCACTAAAAATATTCTTAAAAAATTAAATCGTTTGCAGCATAACGATTTTATTGCTACGCTACAAATTTAGATTTAATCGACATATGAAATCTTAAAAAAAAGTGTCATCAAAAAAATTAAATCGTTTGCAGCATAACGACTTTATCGCTATGCTACAAATTTAGATTTAATCGCATATGTAAATTGTAAATTATGAAGTAAAAAAAATAATAAAGATTTTCTAAGCTAAAAAATATTATGCTATTGCATAGGCGTATTGTATTTCAATAATTTATGTTAAATGAAAAAAATTGAAATAACGAAAGGGTAAAAGTCGATAATCAAAAAAAATATATATTCTATTTTAGTAATTAAAAATGTGAAGTATAAAGCATAACAGAAGTTTGATTTCATTGGTTGATCGATAAGGGTTCTGATTTGTTAAATCAAATTTCATAAGAAATAAACTCCCAATCTTGGAGTTTCACAAAAAGCTTCAAAAGAAATGATCATTCAACCTTGCTCACGTGAATATAAAAGGATATTTTGTAAGAAAAAGACCCAAGTTTCATTAATATTTTGGTCTTTAAAGGGTATAAAACCAATATACTGACTTTGTGTAACATGTTTGTAATTCTAGAGTTCTTCCTATTAAAACTTGGTGGAATAAAGAGATCATAATGTATATAATGGTAGAATAACAGCAGAAATATATTCTAGTGAAATTTCGCATCAAACAGATAGGTCTTCATGTGTGCTATTCTATACGCTATATAAATAATTAGGTTTATTTAAGAAACTCTGTTATGCTGAAGTAAAACGGGAAAAAAATAATTCAAATATATGTACCAAAATGTGTATTTATGTAAAAGTGTAACAAACGTAATTTTGTCCACTAAAAATATTCTAAATCGTTTGCAGCATAACGACTTTGTCGCTACGCTACAAATTTAGATTTAGTCGTTAGCGATTAGGTTTATTCCATTACTAATTATCACATTATTGTCAAGTGTTAAACTTTTTTGACAAACAAGAGTTTTGTAGATAAGATTGAAGTTTTTTTTAGTTATTTATAATTTTTTATGTCACACCAAGAATTTCCTCATAGAATTTACCACGTTACATACCGACGCATGAAAAAATTTTTTTATTACAGAATTCCGGTGATGTGCACCTTTGGAAGCTTGCAGAATTCTATGGAATTATTTCTATGGCTGATCTGATCCGAATAAGTTATTGCAGTTCTCTCAGCCATTCCTTTTTTGAATGATCGCCTAAATTACCTAAATTACGTAAACTTTGCTGTAAATACCGTTTTAACTAGAATATTCTTTTTTTTTTCTTCTTTTTTTTCTCTCTTTTTTTTTTAAAAAACAAAAGAAATTCTTAAAGTTCCAATAGATGCAAATGAAATTACTATATGATTACAATCATTCTGTCCATATAAATCTGTTGAAACATGTTTATTATCGTACATTGAAAGTATAACGGATAATAGTGCAAATTTCTTACAAGTATTTAGAAATTCATATCTTAAGGATTATTATTATATCATGTTAATACTACAACGCAATAAATTATTAGAAACATATGGTTTTCTTATATGTTCAAAATTCTTTTTAAAGATACAGTATTAGCAGTTATACTTTGTACTACTCTCTTCTTTAATTGGGTACTTCATTTCCTAATTGAATTCTCTTGGGTAACTTTTCCATCGAATTTTAATTCAAGTTTTCCGGGATCACGGGCGTGCTTATTAATGGTGTGGCGCTTCGCGCCACATCAGATCATTATTAAGCGCCCGTACAAATAATAAGTAGAAACTTGTGATTAGAAAAACTATTTAACACAACTGTACTATAATTAACATACATTCCTTATTTAGAAAAACCATTTAACACAACTGTACTATATTTAACATTCCTTATTCTATGTTTAACTGTTAAAACAAATTTAATTTTTTTTTTTCGCGGCAGTTAATGCAGAAAATGTACTTGACAACATTATGTTATACAGTTCCTTATTGGCGAATTTGGTGGGTTGGAAATTAAAATTCATTATAATAAGGAATTCTGATACAGTATTGCATATAACCAATTAAAGATTAATATAATATCAACATAACTTAAGTATATTTGTTATTAACGAAGCAAATTAACTCAAATTTTGCTACGGAATAATTAATTTAGCAAAATACATGCACGATAAAAGAAAAAATAAATGTGTTGTATTTTATAGCAACTTGCTTACAAATTTAAATACTATGGTAATTGGTAAATTATCATAAAAAATCTATACCTTATTCGCTATATTAAAATCCGTTATTGTAACGGTGAACTTTGCCCATGATGGTTTATTGTTTACATTTAACTTATTTGAGCACTAAAATTTACCGTCACTTTTTCTTCTAGTGATAACTTGTACTCGAAGTTAAAGATATTTTGTAATAAAACTAATTTCTAATTATTCATTCCTTAACTTTAGAGCGTGTTCGGTGGGGTCGAAACTACCTGTATCTCGATTTTTATGAGAGTAAGTATATTATTTTTCATGGAGAAAATCGTATTTTTCATATCAGTTTTGATTTTCGAAATTTTCGAAATTTTCTGATAAATTTACCACGGAACGGTCAGAACGTACTTACTTACTGCGACTTAAGTAAGTAGCAAAAAATTTACAATATGTCGATCATTTGGCTGGGTTGCCATGTCTACTTTAAAGGCTAGAAGAACCGAAAATGTAACCGTTTTAAGTCCATAGATTTTTTAATTTTAACTATAATAAGTAATTATTAACTTCATTTATTCTATACAAAAAAAAATTTACAATTATATTTTGAATCGGTGAACTAATAAAGATTAATTAAATGTCCTAAAAGCATATGTCAAGTTATGTCAATATGTCGATGTCGATGATGTTTATCACGTAGTCACGTGCTGGCGCGAGTTAGTTATCTGAGGGGACTTACGTAACTTAACCTGTCACACATTACACACATTAATTACTCAGGCTTTATAAATAAGTTCGTTATCGTAATATTAAAAAAAATAATAATTTTTTTTCCTATTTGATTTTCTTTTTGATAAAAAAAAAAAAAAAAAAATGTCGCCCGATTTAAAAACAAGATTAGATAAAGGATTAAAAGATGATGCTGAAATTCGTGACCTTTGGTTAGAGGGAATTTATAACCGAGATCATCGACAAACATTTAAAAAGACCAATGAATTTTATGATTTTATTATTATTGGAGCTGGAACTGCAGGATGTGTATTAGCGAGGGAATTGATTTATAATATCCCCCATATTAATATTTTGGTATTAGAAGCTGGTCCACCAAGTACACAAATTAATGATATAATGCGTTCACCATGTGCTTTTCATTCGGTATGTATTAATATTTTGATATTATAAAGTTAACTGTAAATCTTTACATTGACGATTAATTTATAAATAAATAGGCTTTTCGAGCGGTTGAAACAGATTGGGGATATTCTTCTGAAGATCAAAAAATGCCTGGTATTATTGATCCTAATAAAGAAGTATTAAATAAAGGGTCTCATTATCCACGTGGCAAGGTTATTGGAGGATGCAGCACTGTGAATGCAATGATTTATATGTAACTTTTTTTCTCTTTTTTTTTGGCTGATTGAATATATAACACGAAATTTTCGATTTTATTTATATTTCATATCCTAAATTCCTTAGAAGAGGTCAAAAAGCTGATTACGATCTTTGGGCTGCTCAAGGTTCAGAATACAAAATTTGGGATTATGATCACTGTCTTGAAGGTTAGTATCTTATTATTCTGTACACTATATTTTTTTCATTTGTTTATTAAAAATTTAATATTTCTTTGTTTTTAAACCACTTATTTAAATAATAGCTTTTAAAGCGGTTGAAAACAATGCGCGTAAAAGTACTGATGAAGAATTTAAAAAGTATCATGGGTTCAATGGTTTGCTTCACGTACAAGATGGTCAAATTGATTTCGATGATATTATAAAAGATGTTATTAAAGTTGCAAAAAATCTTGGAATTCCCTATAATAATGATTTCAATGGCGTTAGACAATATGGAATAGGAAAACATCAGGTAAATGAGTGACAAGATAATTTTAAATTTTTAATTTATTAATCAATTTAATATGTAGCATACGATGAAAGATGGAAAGCGCTTTTCGTTGGCTGACGGTTATTTAACAGATGCATTAAGAAAAGTTGAGACTTATCCCCCTTCAAAACCATTCGAAATAGGGTCTCCTCACGGATTAAGCGATGATGCTGCAAAGTTCGTGGCAGTTAACGTTAAATCTTCTACTCACGTGTTGAATATTATTTGGGATGAGAAAAAGAAAGATGAAAATGTTGCAATTGGCGTAAAGTATTTTTATGACGGTAGAGTTCATGAATCTTTTATTGCTCCAAAGGGTGAAGTGATTATTTGCGGTGGTGCTTTTAATAGCGCTCAGGTAATAATTAAAAAAAAATATTGATTTTTTTCGATAAAACAATGAACTGATGATAGTATTTGATAAATTTAAAAAGATTTTAATGCTTTCTGGAATCGGACCAAAAAACAATTTGGAAGAAAATAATATCAAAGTTCGTAAAGAATTACCAGTAGGACGCAATTTACTTGATCATCCTACATGTGGAATCACTGGCGAAGTTTCCGTTCTAAATGGTACAAGTAATTCTCAATTGAATTATTCGAGTTGTGGATTGGAACTTGCAATGTTTTATAAAGGTGATAATAAAGGAAAAGTTCTTAACCAAAAACATTTCCTTGATGAACGTCCTGATATTCAATTACATGGTAAGTTAATATCTCATATACTATATTAGTTTTTAAAATATTATTAAAATTATAAAATTGCTTATGATTTTATAGTGAGTACAAGTATACTCGATCCCGCTAATGCTACATCAGGAAAAAAAAATGATATTCTCACCCTTTTATCGACTCTTAATCTTCCATCAAGTGTTGGTCATTTGGAATTACGTAGTTCTAATCCATTTATGCATCCAAAAATATTTCTTAATTTTTATGAAAAACCTGATGATTTATATTTAATGATGAGCAGTCTTAAATTATCATGTGAAATTTTCAAACAACCTCCATTAAGCACTGTTTGGGGCGTTGAATCTTATGAATATAAAGAGATGAGTGATGAAGATTGGGAACAATATATTCGTGAAAAAGTAAGTTCTGATAAATCAGATTAATTTATAATTAATTTCATATGACGTATATTTACATATTAAAGAATACACTTGTTAACTTTTCTATATTTCAATATATTTTAATCTAGACATTCTCATCATCCCACGCATGCAGTACTGTAAAAATGGCACCAGAATCTCAAGGAGGATGTGTTGATCATCGCCTTCAGGTTTATGGAACAAAAAATCTTCGAGTTGCTGACGCTTCAATTTTTCCAACTATTCCGGCTGGTAACCTTAATGCTCCTGTCGCTATGGTTGCATGGAGAGCAAGTAGATTAATTGAGGAAGATTATAAAAATAAAGCTTAACGATAAAGAAATATTTTTTTTTTTTTTTTTTAGATTAGTGAATGTTGTAGAATAAATATTAAATATTCATCATTTGTTGCTTTATGTCGACTTCTAAGTCGGTTTACCAATTAACATTTGAAATACGAATAAGCAAGATTAAATAAATAAATATGTAAATAATCTTTTTAAAATAAGTTACATAAAGATTTATAATATATATATGTTAATAAGTGTATAATATTTTAAGATTATGTGCAAGTTGAAAGTATGAAACCACACCCTATGCTTTATGTAAAGCTTGTAGCCAGATCATATGAATTGGTGCGATCCGGATGATTCCGGTCAATCTGTCAGCTGGTCATCGATCATCCGGATCCATCCGGATTAAAAATGAACGGATTCGTGGATGAACACCAGAATTTAAACATCTGCCAGCAAGGCTAGCAATGCAGTATAATTTCTATATAAATATGACATATATTTAACAATATGAATATTTCTTGTTTTTCTTTTTTTTTCAAATTTCTCTATTTCAAAGAATAAAAACAAACAAAAATAAAACAAAAATTAAATTCTCAACCTATGACCATCTGTGTTGAATCTTAATTTTTTGTTCACCCATTTCGTTAATATTTTTCATTCCTCTATATTATCCAGTAAATGTTGAATTCACTTTTTGTTTTCTCCTTTATCTTCGTCTTTAAGAATTCTTTCTTGTTAATAGTATAGTATATAGTATTGGCACTATTTCAGAAATTCTTGATTAAACTTGTAATCATCATTATATCATGTATTTTCCTATAAAAATTTCCTAATTCAGTAAAATTCCTAAAAATTGGGAAATTTTTTTAGAAAAAATACATGATTATATCATCATTTCCGTCACGACTTTAATTGTTTTTTCTTCAAAATCATTATTATCAAAGATTTGGCATACTACAGTCAGGCCTCCATAATTGCACACTTCTTGGGACCATATGCATAATTTTCAAAATAATGCATTTAAAGAGGGTGTACATTTATAGAGGTAAAATAATTAGAGATCATATAAGCTTGGGACCGAACCAGAGGGTGCATTTAGAGAGGATATACATAGTGGGTGCAATTATGGAGAGTGCAATTATAGAGGTCTGACTGTATCTTCATTAAGCATTACTCTTTCATTATCTTTTCGAACATTGCTTCCCTCTTGTTTGGAAACAATCATTTATGGATAAATAGTTAATATTGATGATATTGATAATTTATCTGAATCAAATTCTTCTATAATGATATGTTCAATAAAGTAATGATCTTGAATTTTCTTTTTCATATTATTTTAAATTAATTATTATAAAAAGTATTATTATGAAGAATTGGATATATTAAAACAAGATTCAGAAAATATCAATAATAATAATGAATTATATAAAGAATTAGTTGAAGATTTTAAGAATAACTACTAGGGACTATTTGGTGACTATATTTTTAACAAAAAGTTTTTTTTTTAATTCAATAATTTATACTTACTGTATATCTGGAATATTTAAAAATACATTTTCTAATTGTTTATTTTGTTTTCATTTTTTTATACAATTTGATAACTGTCACAAATCGGAATCCTTTACAGATTATTTTTTTAAGTTAATATTTTGATTGACTTTATTAAACAAATTTGCATTCATTTTTAATCTTTTATTTAAATAAAAAATAAATTTATTGAACAATAAACACTTTTTTATTTTTTATTAAACTAAATAAAATATTTATTACAAATGATACCTTTTTTTTTATCATCATAAAATTTGTTTAAAGTTTATGAAATCAAAAAATAAAGTCATTATAGAAATTTATATTTAAATTTAAATTATACAATCCAAACACTCAGAATTATTTTGATATAAAATTTCAGTAAGCAAGCGGCTTGTATAATATGCTTGTGGATGAGTTTGTAAAACAGAAATATTAGCTTGTTCTTGTGTCAAAACTCTATTTGCTTTTATAAGTTCATACATATCATTTTTTAATTGATTATCAATATTAGGAATTAAATTTTTTTGTCCATCTTCACCATTTATTTTATAATATTCATTAATACATCTAAGCCATTCAGATATAGTATTTTCAATAATTACTATATTTGGTCTTTTGGTAGGATCTGAATCCCAGCACTTTTTCATCAAATCTATATAACATTTTGGAGTATATTTTATAATTTCAGGGCGATCTCCTTCACAAATACTTAAAATAAGTTCAACATCATGTGCTTTATTATTAAATGGAGGAATACCTGATGTAAATTCCCACATCATCATTGAAAAACTATAGATATCACTTGCTGGAGTATAAGGGTTGTTTCTTAATATTTCAGGTGCCATATAAGGTATTATTCCATAAACTTTATCAATTTTATCATCAGAATTTTGTATAGGTTTGCATAATCCTAAATCAATAATATATATTTCATTATAATCATCTGATATTAAGATATTACCATCATGAAAATCACAATGAGTAAGTTCTGATTCATGTATTATTTTAAGTCCTGAAATAATTTTTTTCAATAATTGCAATTTAGTTTGCCATTTAAATTTAACTATATTAGATAAACATTTTTTCAAACTTCCATTTTTTGCATAACTCATTATTATCACATAATTTAAATTATTTGGATTTTGGGAAATTCCAAAGAATTGAATAAATTTTGAAAATGATTTTTTCTGACAATTATAATAATGTTTCCACTATATATAGTGAATATTTAAAATTATTAATTTATAAGATAAAATAAAATATACAATTATTATCTAATAAATAAAATACTATACCTCATCTAAAAATTTATCATTTAAACTTGATGAATTATTAAGATTTTTAAGAATAACCTCATATTCAGTCCATCTATTCCATTGTTGTTCATTAAAGTTCCAACTATCAATAGGTCCATCTGACCAAATAGCCCTATAAATTTCACTAAATCCTCCTTTATCATAATAATTAATATTATTCAACTTATTATAAGGTATCCATTCTAAAACTTCATAATTACTTTTAGCATTTAGTTGTGCTTCTTGAATAAATTTATCAATAAATTTATTTTTACTAGTCCATTTTGAAAATTCTTGCTGAAATTGTTTAATATTACATTGTTGGCACCATTTGTAATCAATATATGGTTGATTGCATTCCTTGCATAAGTTGTTAATTTTAAAATTATCAGGAGTTATTTTGTGCCAATAAAAGGCTTTTTCCAAATTCTTCTCTGTTCCTTCACCATTGTTGTAACATAAGGCAAGACTATGCATAGACTCTTCATGACCCTTCTCTGCTGCTTTTTGAAACCAGTGAAAGGCCATTCCCAAGTCCTTTTCTGTCACTTCACCATTGTTATAATATAAGGCAAGACTGTGCATTGACTCTTCATAACCCTTCTCTGATGCTTTTTGAAACCAGAGAAAAGCCATTTCCAAGTCCTTTTCTGTCCCTTTACCATTGTAGTAATGTAAGGCAAGATTGTATATTGATCTTTCATGACCCTTCTCTGCCGCTTTTTGAAACCAGTGAAAGGCCATTTCCAAGTCCTTCTCTGTCCCTTTACCATTGTAGTAATGTGAGGCAAGACTGTTCATTGACTCTACAAGACCCTTCTCTGCCACTTTCTGATACCAGTAAAAGACATTTCCAAGTCATTCTCTATTCCTTCACCATTGTAGTATCGTAAGGCAAAACTGACTATTGACCATTCATGACCCTTCTCTGCCGCTTTCTGATACCAGTGAAAGGCCATTCCCAAGTCTTTCTCTGTCTCTTCACCATTGTGGTATCATAAGGCAAGATCGTACATTGACTCTTTATGACCCTTCTCTGCCGCTTTCTGATACAAGTAAAAAGCCATTTTCAAGTCCTTTTCTGTCCCTTCACCATTGTGGTAACATAAGGCAAGATCGTACATTGACCCTTCATGACCCTTCTCTGCTGCTTTCTTAAACCAGTAAAAGGCCATTCTCAAGTTCTTCTCTATCTTTTCACCATTGTTGTAACAATAGGTAAGACTATGCATTGACTCTACATGACCCTTCTCTGCCGCTTTCTAAAACCATTTTCAAGTCCTTTTCTCTATTCCTTCACCATTATAGTAATGTATGGCAAGATGATGCATTAACTCTTCATAACCCTTCTCTGCCGCTTTCTGAAACCAGTGAAAGGCCATTCCCAGGTCCTTCTCTGTCCCTTCACCATTGTAATATCATAAGGCAAGACTGTGCATTGACCTTTCATGATCCTTCTTTGCCGCTTTCTGAAACCAGTGAAAGGCCATTCCCATGTCCTTCTCTGTCCCTTTACCATTGTAGTATCGTAAGGCAAGTTTGTGCATTGACCTTTCATGACCCTTCTCTGCTGATTTTTCTAACCAATTAATGTTATCACTTAAATCTTTAATATTAGTAGAAGTTGACATTATTAACAAATAGTTTTATTTGTTGACAATTAAAAAACTAAATGGTACATTTCAAATAGGAAGGGTCCTTTTTTAATATTGTATATGCTATGTTTCACTGCACTGTTGTACATTCACCACTGTTACCCACGTCTGCCACCCGTGGATAAACACATCTTTTACATTACAACTTTATTTCTTGTTATTTCGCTTGGTTTAGATTTTATTTTTCTCTTAACTTCTCGCTTTCTTTCTCATATATTCATAATATTTATTCTTACAAATACTACCACTTATTCATAATATTCTCAAAATATTATTCTTTATATAATATTTATTCTTTCAAATATTACCACTTTATTTCTTATAAACTGCGAGAGTTCTCCTAACTTCTTATTATATTTCATACAATGAAACGAGAATAACTTCCTTTACTTTACTTTTCTGGACTTAATATCATAATATTAATTAATTCTCAAGCGTATAATGAGCATATTCAAGATAACTTTTAATAATTAATATTTATTTTATTAAATTCGAGTCAAAAACTGACTGCGGAATTCCTAATGAATCCCACCTATATTTATACATTTTTAAGAAAATTGTTTCTACTATTTCTAACTTTTCTACTAGTAAAAATTTAAGAATAATAAGAAAATAAAGATGTATTATCATATGACTATCTCGTGACTAAACTAAACTAAACTATAAATATTATTTTATCGGTTAATTATTTATCCTTCGGCTAATTATTTATTCATCAGTTAATTATTTATCCTTGTTCCATTCGGTCTTTTATTCATCCACTCACGTGATTATCCTGATTTCTCGGGTTACAGCTATCCCCCCAAGAAAAATTTGAGTCCCATCAAATTCTAATTATAACTTTGAAACTTGACCTGTTAATATATTCCTTCAATAATTCTCCATTTATTGGCTTTTTCTGTATTCTTCCCTCCATAGTTTTAATTTTATAAGATCCTTTAGAAATTATTTCATGTATATAATACGGTCCTTTCCATTTTTCTTCTAGTTTTCCAGACCATTGTTTTTCTTTTGCTTCTTCATAATATAGTACTTTATTCCCTATTTGAAAATTCTTTTTCGTCTTATATTTCTTATCATGATATTTCTTCTGTTTTTCTTGAGATTTCTCTATATTTTCTTTAGCTTGGCTTCTAATGTTCGGTAGATCTTCCATTAAACTATTAACCCTTTGTGTTATTGTAACATTTTCATCTTCTAAATTTAATAATGTCTTTATTTCCCTCCCATATATTAGATATCCTGGTTTTAACTTGGTCGAATCATTTTTCTTTGTTCTATATGCAAATAAAACTCCTGGTACTTTTAAATCCCAATCTTTAATGTTATTCAATTTTGCTAATGATTCACATAGTGTCTTGTTGAACCTTTCTATTAATCCATTCGTCTTCGGGTGATAAGGTGTCGAAAAATTGTGTTCTATCTGGAATTCCTTCATTAATAGTTCTACTAATTTATTATTGAAATGACTTCCCCTATCACTTAATATCTTCTTTGGACATCCATGTCTACATATTATATCTTCATAAATAAATCTTGCAATTTCTTTAGCATCTGCTATTTCTAAAGCTTTATCTTCTGGCCATTTCGTAAAATAATTCATAGCCGTAACTATGTATCTATTATTTCTTTCTGTTATTGGTAATGGTCCCACAACATCTATCCCAATTTGATAAAATGGTTCTTTAACTTTAATTACATTTAATTCATGTTTTCCAATCAGTTTTCCTCTTCTTTGACAACTATCACATGATTTAACATATATTTCTATATCTTGTCTCATTCCTTTCCAATAATATTTCTCTTTAACTCTTTCATGTGTTGCATCTATTCCAAAATGTCCGGATAATTCATGGTCGTGTGCAATATACATTAATCCTTCGAACTCATATTTTCTTATTACTCTCAATTCTCTATTATCCTTTATTCTATATAACAAACCATCTTTTATTCTATAATGTTGTTCATTATCTATATTTTTAATTATCTCATTATATTTATCTTCTTCCATTAATTAGTATATCTTCTATTTCTTCTTCAAGAGGTAAAATAAACCTAATATTTTTATCTTCAAATAACACGCAGTGATAATTCGTATTCCTGTGTATAATGTAAATATATATTCCTATTCCAATATTTTCAGTAGTCATTTTATTTTTCCAATAGCTTTTCGACTCGTTTATATACTTTTTTCCAACTTTTGTCATCGTTTTTAATTTTAATTCTCTTATATTTCCCTTTATTCTCATAAATATTCTGATGCTCTTTAAACATTTTCACCATATCCATATATTCCTCTTCGTTCAACGTTTTATATGATGTTTTATGTCCTTCTTTACTTTTCTTAGTTTCTCTTCCAATATAATTATTCCAACATTCTTTATTCTCTAAGAAAATTATTACCGCATTATCCATAATGTCTTTATATTTAAATATCTCTTTCTCCATTTTATGATTCCCATATGGAGTAATATATCCTCTGTCAAAACTTTTGGTCTTTTGGTAAAAGTATTCACAATATGGTGACTTGTCTAATATTATAATATCTTCATCTGTAAATTCAACTATTCTCCTGTTAATTTCTTCCACAACTTGATATCTAAATAACCATTCATATTCTTTTGAAGGTTCTTTGAATCTGCTATCATCATTTCTTCTTCTTTTAAACTTATTAAATATTATTTTTAAATCATCCTTTTCTTCTAGTCGTTTGATCATATTTTCTACTATAGTAGACTTTCCTGTACCGTCTGGTCCATCTACGATAACAACTTGTGGTTTATTCTTTCTTCCTAGTTTTCTTAATAATTCTTTTTCTGTTTTCTCCTCTAAATTCAGAAGTATTGCTTCTTTGTTGGTAAAATATTTAACATCGTCCCATTTTCCTTTAAATCTTTTAGCCTCATACCATTTATTTTCAAATTTAACATATTTCAACTTTTTCTCTTTATTATGCTCCATTTTCATTATTTCTTGATCTGAGCTTTCAACGTCCCTTTTTATAACCTTTCCCTCAAATTTTAATCTTGATAATGCATCTGCATTCTTATTTTCTTTACCACTTCCATGTATTACTTCAAAATCATATTGTTGTAACTCCATTACCCATCTTACTCTTCTTCCTGTAGGTACTTTAGCATTCATTAATCCTTTTAATGCAGCATGATCCGTTATAACTGCAAATTTTCTTCCTGCTAAGAACTTATGAAAATACTTGATTCCCCAGAATATCGCTAAACATTCTAATTCTGTTATTGCATAATTTTTTTCTGCTCCCACTAAACTTCTACTAGCATAAGCGATAACAAATTCTTTATTTTCTTCATTTTTCTGAGACAATACTGCTCCTAACCCCTCTCCTGATGCGTCTGTAATCAATATAAACTCCTTTTCAAAATTAGGGTGATCTAATACTGGTTTTTCCATCAATCTCATTTTCAATTCTTCAAATGCTTCTTGTTGTCTTTCTGTCCATTCAAATGGTACATCCTTCTTAAAAGGCTTTGCTATTTTTGCAAAATTCTTTATAAATCTTCTATAATATGAACACAACCCTAAAAATGATCTCACTTGTGTAACAGTTTCTGGTATTTTTATTTCTTTGATTTTCTCTATTTTCTTCACATCTGGTCCTTTGAAAACCTTTTTCATTTGGCAAATCTTCATAATACCATTTATGTTCACAATTTGAATCATTGCATGGTATATTATTTTTCAATGATTTCAACGCAATACTAGTTGTCCAGTTATTTTCTTTATTAGATAATCCTAAATAAATACATAAATAAATTATCCACAAATTTAAAGTAAAATTTCAATTTTTTTTCTTACCAAATACTAATGGTGTACCAAATCCAGCATCATTTTCGGTTACAACTGCAAGTACTGGTGTGTGATCACTATTTAAGTCATACTTGCTATCAACTCCAATACAGTATTTTCCATACCTTTGAGCATTTTTTAACCATAATTGATTTGATAATGTTAATTGATAAAAATGTTCTGAACTCGTTTCTGATGATGATAAATTGGGTTGTTGATAATAAAGAACATTTCCCTTTGGTTTAAGTATTTCGTTAACTAAATAGTGCAAGATTGTCTATGGTCCTGCATTTTCTTTAGTTTGTCTATCATCACGCACCAAAAACCTATACAATTTTTTATCCTCACATAATTCCTTTTGATTACGTAATGCTTCTCGCAAATCTTCTTCGTTAGCACCATTGTAAGGAGCCAACATTTTTGCTTTAATATTTTTTGTTGTTTTATGGTCTGCTCTACGGTTTATTATAATATTATCACGTACTTGCCTAGTTAAACTCAACCGGTTAATTTGTGGTGTATGTGTTGTACGAACATTGGATGGTAAATGGCTATTTAAAACTTTTATTTTAAGAGGACATGGACGATCAATTTTAGATAAATATACTTCTGAAATGATGCGTACTTTGCACAAATGCATATCATTATAGTTTTTTAGATTATTTGGTAATGCTTCATTTTGACAACCTTCTATGCATTTACCAATTCCACCACATTCATATTGACAAGAATTACCATCTCCAGCACAATACATTACCCAAGACCGGCATAGTTTATCTTTTTTTACTCCTGCTTCAATTTGTTTAACTAGTTCCTCTCCCTTTTCTGTTAATTTGACTATATCATCAATCTGGTTAGTTGATTTTGTTTGACCAGTCTTTGTTCACCATTCAATAAAATCAACAGCTCCTTCAACACGTTCAATTGTGATAATTCCTTCTTTAACTGATTCAGGAGTTTTCTTTCGACTTTGACTTTTTAAACGAATATTTTTAAGCAAAGGATGATTTTTTAGATAATATTCTGCAGTCCGACCAAATTGAACATTAACAGAATTTTCAGCAGTATTATATTCAATAAAATTTCAAAGTTGCTATTATTCATTATATTGTATAAAATTGTGTAAAAAGAAAAAGTCAAGAGTCGCGTCATATAATAAAATGTAACACGTATTATTTATGTAACGCAGTTATCACTAATACTGTGCTACTTATCACATAATTTTTTATCACATTTCAGGTCAAGAAAAAAATATTTTTGTCATACATAATCATGCATATTTTGATCGGGTCAAGAAAGTAACACGAGGAGGGTCAAGAAGGTAATTTTTGCATCTGAGGGACTTAGTTTTTTTCGAGTATGCAAAATCTTATTCGTCACCCTTATCTGTCACTGTTTATTTTCACATGTTAGTGCATATTATTGGGCAAAAGTCACGTGACTGTGAATTTTTTATGGTGATGCTGGGGTAGTTGAATTGTTGCATCATTTTCTATTTAATGAATTCTCATAAATCTAATTTATGCTTTAGATATGACTCAGACTTCCCGGAAGTCATTTCTAATGGGATAGGATTTTTAGAGTGATTCAAAAGAGACTCACCGTTTATCAGTAATACATATGTTTATAGACAGAATGGAAGATACAAAAAAAACTAATAGAAGCACGTGACAATTTGTCAAGCAGTGATGTAACATAAAACAAAAAAAAATATAAGTATTAAATTTCGGCTTGTATTTTTTTAGTAATGCAACTGCATCTCTTTATTGATTAATATGTCGTACATGTACAAACAATACAATAGAAACACCTAAATCTACTTACGTGGAATTACAAGCTATATACCAATAATGATTCATATGAGTCATATTAAAAAATTTATACTGCGAAATACACGTGGATGCTGATCATATCAGATGTTGTGTAACATTTAACAGATTTATAAACCGACTTATAGTTTGATAATCCCGAGTCAATTGAGTCATAAATATATGGCAAATTTGTACAGTTGGTTGAATAATCTTCATGAACCATGGATGTTACAAATAATAGGAGACTTTATAGAACCGTTCAGGTATTTATAGCTTATAGTTTTTTATTTATATGGTGCCAGAAAGACGTCTATACTCAACGATTGGAATTTGTTTCAAATTTTTATACTGTCACGTGAGTAACGAATAGCCAATAAAAACTTGTAATTTTATAAGAAAAGTAAAACAATCAGTCACGAGCATGGACAAAGGTAATTGGTAAAAAAAGGAACATCAGCTTTGGAAAATCAAAATTTTGAGATTAATAGTTTGATAGGGAGAGCAGAGGAGAATTTCAGTAACGAACTATGAAAATTTGACCAATAAAATTGCATACACATGATTTTGTTTCAAAAATAGGCTGATTAAATTTTAACTTGTTATGTAGATATTTTTTTGAAAATCTGACTGGTAACTTGTCTTGAAGACCGGTTTATTTTCTTCAAAACTTTATTTTTTTAAAGTGTTGAAAGGTTTATAAGTACCCTAATTTCATTTGTCGAGTATAGACTTCCGACGCCATAGTTTTTTTATTATTTATAGTTTTTTTTATTTTGCATAAAGAATCGGTAAGTAAAAATTTTTTTACATAGAACTCGGGGGGAGATAATACCGTTTGGTTGCAAGGAAAGGAAATAATCCAACCTTACTATCGTCCGATTACCCTAATAACTGTCTGGGACGCAGTAAGTTTTCTCTGGCCATTTGTGAATCGTCCCTCCAAAAAATGGAGCCTTCAGAAACAAATAGCATTTTTCAAGATCAGTCAGAGACGTTTAATACAAAAGATTATCAATATGCAAGTCAAAAAGCGTCGTCCATATGTTGTGAATCTAAAATATACTATCCAGAAGGGAAAGATAGCCAGGCATATGTTTGGAACATCAGCCAGTTGTGGATTAGCAGCAAACAACAAGGAGATAGCCAACCGAAGAGCAAAATGTATGAGGATATTGGAGTGGACTCCGAAATTTGTCCTAACATCAGAGGAAAAAATGGAATGCGATTATCCTTTGGGCAATTGTGCCGAGTCGGCACCATTGGAATTGCTAAGCGGAAGAACAAAGGAATCCAATGTAATTATGTATACGTGAAGTATGAACACAAAAATGGAGGTGATGGACCCGTGTGCACAATGTTAGAAAGTAGCGGACGAAATGAATCGGAAGGGCTGGGCCTTGGTGTGTCCATGGTAGTTTATACATTCGTTGATGAATCCGTCCGTCGCAACATCGCATCCTCTATTCATATTAGGCTCATCGATAGCAAAGATCTAGAAAAGCATGATGACTTCTATGAACCTATTGCAGAATTTGGTTTTGAGCACATTATTGTAATCGGAGAGACATATAATGGGTTGCTCTTTCTAGATTGTTATGAACGAGTTTTTAAATGGCAACAAATGCAACAAACATTATGGCCATTAGGGGATTCATTAGAGGAGGTGGAGTCAAGATTGAAATCTAATAAGCAAATTGATCGAGTAGTATGGACTGCCGAATATGATGGTGTCAAATATCAAGCACTTCCTGGTATGTTCAAATGCATTATTATAATGGGAGTGAAGAGGTGCTATTTTTTTATTAACTTCTTTTCAGATTATGATGTAGAGGCGGCTGAGCGAGCTCAACGAGCTGAACGAGCAAGAAAAACAAAAACTAAAGGTGTGAAAAACAAGTACTTAAAGAACAAAAAGAAGTAATTGAAATGTATTTTTTTGAATAATAAAATCAAAGATGACTTAGTAATAATATAAACTACAAAAAAATTTTAATTAAATAATTCAGATTAGCTTACTTTACATAAACTACAACAAAATTAATTAATTAATTAATTCAGTTTAGCTTACTCTATTTGTAATAATATAAACTATAATTAAATAATTCAGATTAGCTTACTCTACTTTATCTAAAGCAAAATAAAATCCTCTATTCTGCATAATATTGCTAAATATAAAAGATTTCCCTATCAACTGAATAGAAAAAATTTTTTTATCGTTAATTTTATTTGCATACTAGAATAAATTGATATAGTTAATTATAAAACTAATTATCCCGCTTTATTACATCTATAGTTGTGAGTTTTATTTAAAATGATAATTGGAGGAGTAACATTATACGAAAAAAAATGCGAAGTCAAATTTATGACAGTCAAGCAAATTGATATTTACTATCAATTCTTCAAATTCCAATCATATTGGAAGCTTTCATGCTCTAAAGCAATATATTCGAGCTAATTATTTATTTATTTTATGTAAAGCCAGACAGACTATTGAACAGGACATATCCCAGACATGCGTTATCCTACTTCTAGCTATCATCCATCAACGAAAAAACAGCAACACTGAATTACGGAATATACTTATGCAAAATTTCTTCGTCCATGCAGTAGATCACTAGAAGAGATATCAATTTTGTATTGTTGGACAATATCAACTGCGGAGAAACACGCCTAAAGGGTAAGTGGATAACGGATATCTATTTGAGTAAATGACAACAATGGCATCCCAATATTTCTGTACCTGATTAATGAAATTTAAGTCATGTGTTCCACTGCGGAAATGAATATAAGTGGACAACTTTCCATAAGTCAATCATGTGATACTTTATCTGTGAAACAAGACAACTGTGACTCAAGGGTTACGGTCTCGTAATTTGGATAATTTTCATCCGTAAATTGAGTAATGTGTTTATCTCGTAATTTCTTCATACCGTTAGTGTTAGTCTCTTTCGAAAGCAAATGGGAAATGGTAACACTGAATTCCAGCAATATATTTATAGTATATGCAACCAAAATGTGTTCGTAACTATTCCGTGAGAAAGGTACCCATTTTTATTATATCCTATTGTTATGTGATGTTACAAAAAACAAAAAGACTAACAGTCTACGTTAATAACCAGGGAATATCATTATGAACACATTTCCTAAAACCTTTGCAGAGGAAGTTCTACCCAGAGGGTACAAAGTAGAAACTACATTTCTAGTTATATAGATTTTTTTACGTTTAAGGAACTCTGCTGCTTGGTACTAACGATTATATGGATATGTTCTAAGTTTAGCGGTCTATCCTTATCAAAATAAGTGGTAATAGGTTTCATTGTATTTAATTGTTCCACACTCAAATCATTGTCTTTCAGATAATATTTGATGTTTTCTAGACGAATTTGGTCATGGAGTTTAAAAGGAGTAACTCGTTGCTAGGAGTTTCCGCATATACCGGATTAGGAATCAACCGTTCTTTTATTAGTGGTTGGAGGAAAGTACACTGATCATCTTTGTAAAATTTGAGTCCAAAAGTCCTTTCACCATTAACATTTCGTTCTTTGCCATACAATGGAAGAATATTGAAGCTAAAAACATCGTCGGTTGTCTTGATGTTTGTCATTGTGTTCCTATGGAATAATGATTGAAAATGTGAAGAACATATTCCGTTAAAGTTTACAAGTGAGTTTTTTTTTGACTGCGAAGCACCCATATCAATGTGTATTACTTACCAGATGTATAGTTGTTCAATTTCTTTGGCAGATGGGTGAAAAAATATTGTGGTTGCTCAGATAAATCTCGTGTACTGCACACTTTTGCAGATTAGAACAAACAGGCATTTACTGCAGTGAAGAATATAAATGGACAACAGAACGGAGATGACTGTGACCTTGGTTCACGTTCTCGTTATTGAGACATGTTTTGCTTGAAACCTATTAAGTTAGTTCTAGAACTTTTTTACGAATAAGACTCCTTACAAAAAAATAAATTAAATATTTGTATTTTGTACATGTAGCAAAGTATTATCGATAACCAAGATAACTCTTCTTTGCTACTAAAGAGAGTCCTTTACTAACGGTGAAGGACGTTGAGCCCCACCTCCTGGGGAAGTTTCTTCTCTTGTAGTACTTGTATGGAAACATATAGGTTAAATGCGGGTGGCGATTCCGAACATTCATTGCAACTTCATGATTTCTTCATAGTCTTATAGTAAGTCATGAAGATTTTTTGTCCACATTTTGTTATCATTCATCTGCAGCATGACCAGCCTGCCACATAACTACGCTTATTTATCATCGACATAACCATCAACATAATCATACATAATCACCAATTATTGATAATAAAATCCATCTGCAGACAAGTAGTTACCAAAAAGTATAGACACATAATGTAGTCATTAGAAAAATGTATGAATACTGCACGAAGGATAAGCAACCGACAGCACTAATACAAAAAGTATAAATTTATTGCACCATCATTACAAAAAGGATCACATGAAAACAATGGTAAAATGTACAAACAACATTTCCAAGGTAACGTAGACATACTATCGTTTTTGTAAGTGAACCACTGTTATTCAACAAGTAGTTGTTCTGTAAATATCATACGATTATAGGAGGACATAATTTACAATGCAGCTAATGATTTTAACATTGGTACTATCGTTACCAAAATGTTAGTAGTACAACAAGTTTCAACCACATTTCCCATGTTTTCAACATCGTTACTAACGAAACAGGTGTGAGCGGGCTCAGTTATGTTCACGTGTTACTCTGAGCTGACCGTTTAGTGAAATGCAACATTAATGAGTCTAAGGACAGCCGAGACAGAATACCTGAAGAGCACTTCTTTGCTATATGCATATTAACAGAACGGTACTTCGCAACTAGCTATTTTGCCTAGAGGGAACAAACATCAATCAATCGCCAGAACGATTCAGCCATCGATAACCTCAGTACTGTAGATAGTAAGCAGACAATTACTTATGCGACTCTTGTCTGTTAGAAATGTAACGATCATTAGTTCAGGAATGTCTATCAACTGGTAATTATTAGGAATAATCAGTCAGAGACTGCTCGAAAAGCAAAATATAAAAAATAATGAAAGAAAATGCAACCCTGCTTATATATTTTTATACAGAGTGTATTAATTGATGAGTGACACAGAATTCTACCTCGTACATGAGCGTCTTACCCTATGAACGTAGGTTCCTAGGACCTCCTCTGTTGATAGCATGGTTGAGCGATAAGACACTCAGTCTAAAGACTAATTTCATGGAATGGGCTATTTCTTTGAAAGGCTACGCCAAGCCCCTCGTTCCTCGAAAAATCACTTCCCTTGGAAGGTCCATTACATGGACTGGAGAATTTTTCTGTATACATTTGTCTATTATTCACTTACGTAATTGACATCTGAGGGGAGTTTTATTTTGCTCTTCGAGCAGTCTCTGACTGACCTGTGTTGCCTACGTCATCTCTCCCAAAGGGAGATGCTTTTCACGTCTACGTTATTCTTCTGCAGTCGCTCAAAGTCACATGATTTCCGAGACAGCCTGTCCCAGAAATTACAGAACGGTATGATCTGTAAAAATTTCAACGACCAGAACTATGAACCCAGGTTCCTAGGACCTCCTATGTAAAGAGCGTGGTTGAGCGGCAAGACGCTCAGAACATTGATCGCCCAAATTTCTTGGCAAAATCTCTTGGCAAATCCTTTCATTTTGGTGGGACAAGGCGGGAGATTTATTTCAGAAAAGAAAATGTGACAATAGCAGTATTGGGTTACGGTATGTTGGTAATGGTGTGCTGGTAATGATGAATTGGTAACAATATGTTTTGGCATTGACGACTAAGATATGCACGTTGTGCTGGCAACGATGGGGTATTGTAATGCTGGTGGTCAGAACGAGTAATAATGGTAATTACGTTCATGTAATTCCGCCCAGTTTTACGTGAAGCTGAACAATTGTTCTGTAACTATCATCTAGACTATTGGTCTTCCAATTTTGTTCAAGTAATTCGTTTACAAATTACGAAAGATATAAGTATTTACAACGGGCCTCACCCAACAAACGTTACCAAAGCTTACACTTTTGAACGCATTCTGTACGATGTGGGCTTATCCTGTATGATTTAGCATCCTTTAGGTAAATCTCTTCACTTTGGTCAAAAATTCATACATACTTTTCTTTACTTCGTAGCTCTGCTAGAGTTCCTCCGGAATAGCGCCTTGCAGGCACAGGTCGAACAGATGTCATTGTCGCAAAATTTGCCTGGAATTTTTCTGGTAAATTGAGAATTATCCCTGTAAATTTTGGTAAATTGTGTTACAATTTTGGGATAATGGAGGTCTTACAATTTGGCAAATTTTGTCAAAATGGCGACAATCCTACACAATTCCTAATTCAAATGTTGAGATGTGTATAAGAGACAGTGTTTGACCAGTCTTTGTTCACCATTCAATAAAATCAACAGCTCCTTCAACACGTTCAATTGTGATAATTCCTTCTTTAACTGATTCAGGAGTTTTCTTTCGACTTTGACTTTTTAAACGAATATTTTTAAGCAAAGGATGATTTTTTAGATAATATTCTGCAGTCCGACCAAATTGAACATTAACAGAATTTTCAGCAGTATTATATTCAATAAAATTTCAAAGTTGCTATTATTCATTATATTGTATAAAATTGTGTAAAAAGAAAAAGTCAAGAGTCGCGTCATATAATAAAATGTAACACGTATTATTTATGTAACGCAGTTATCACTAATACTGTGCTACTTATCACATAATTTTTTATCACATTTCAGGTCAAGAAAAAAATATTTTTGTCATACATAATCATGCATATTTTGATCGGGTCAAGAAAGTAACACGAGGAGGGTCAAGAAGGTAATTTTTGCATCTGAGGGACTTAGTTTTTTTCGAGTATGCAAAATCTTATTCGTCACCCTTATCTGTCACTGTTTATTTTCACATGTTAGTGCATATTATTGGGCAAAAGTCACGTGACTGTGAATTTTTTATGGTGATGCTGGGGTAGTTGAATTGTTGCATCATTTTCTATTTAATGAATTCTCATAAATCTAATTTATGCTTTAGATATGACTCAGACTTCCCGGAAGTCATTTCTAATGGGATAGGATTTTTAGAGTGATTCAAAAGAGACTCACCGTTTATCAGTAATACATATGTTTATAGACAGAATGGAAGATACAAAAAAAACTAATAGAAGCACGTGACAATTTGTCAAGCAGTGATGTAACATAAAACAAAAAAAAATATAAGTATTAAATTTCGGCTTGTATTTTTTTAGTAATGCAACTGCATCTCTTTATTGATTAATATGTCGTACATGTACAAACAATACAATAGAAACACCTAAATCTACTTACGTGGAATTACAAGCTATATACCAATAATGATTCATATGAGTCATATTAAAAAATTTATACTGCGAAATACACGTGGATGCTGATCATATCAGATGTTGTGTAACATTTAACAGATTTATAAACCGACTTATAGTTTGATAATCCCGAGTCAATTGAGTCATAAATATATGGCAAATTTGTACAGTTGGTTGAATAATCTTCATGAACCATGGATGTTACAAATAATAGGAGACTTTATAGAACCGTTCAGGTATTTATAGCTTATAGTTTTTTATTTATATGGTGCCAGAAAGACGTCTATACTCAACGNAGATGTGTATAAGAGACAGCCCTTACTGTTCTTTTTCTTTTTCTTTTGAGGTTCTCTTAGGAACATTATCATGAATATGTTCCTGTTCTTGGGACGATGGTTTGGATGATGATTTTTTATTTGTTTTTTTCGATTGATCACGCATGTTGTCAATAACTTCCTGCAATTCATCAAGTGCTTCGTTGTTTTTATTTGTGGATTTTTTATTTTTTGAAATTCTTTTTGATGATCATGTTTGTTGAGGTGTTTTCCTTTTTAGTAGCGATGATGGGGTTTTTGCGGTGTTAATGGTGGGGTTTTGGAGGATTGTTTAGATCGTTTGTTTGATCGTCATCCTGATGTCTGTGATAATGACGTTTCCTCTTGCTCCGGCTCGTTTACCTCATCCTCACCCTCTTCTTCTTCATCAGATTCAGCATTTATATCTAATTTATCGACGTTGAGACCTTAAAAGAAAAATTTAAAAAATTTTCTAAAAATTCCATTCCATAAAAAAAAAAAAGAGAACAGTAATACCCAATTACCATAACTTTGTTGACTTTGTTGACTTTATTGACTTTGTTGACTTTGTTCCTCCTCTTCGCTATCTGATTCCGACTCATCATCTGACTCTTCGTCAATAGATTTATGGACTGAGGGAGATTCTCGCTTTCCGTCTTTAAGTGTCCACCAAATTAATTTTGGTGGTGCTTTCTTATTTTTCCAAAATTCATCTTTAAGGATACGAGGACGTACTCTCTTATTTTCTGGAAAATATTTTTCCACGTATTCGTCAATTGAATGTAGAAGTTTCGTTAACTAAAAATAAACGTGTATTAGAAATAGATAAACTTCTATTGTTTTTGGGTTTGGCATTTTTCCAAAATTCGAAAGCATGCAAGGAAATTGATATGTCGAGATTTGGCGAAACCAGAAGCACCAATCACGTATCGATAAAGACATTTTAGTGTCACTGCGCATAAACATAATGAATTGTCTGACTTACTTCATCAGATCTCCATGATAATTTGTAAACAAAAAGGTTTTTGCGGTCTGTGGATGCGTTTGGATCATTCTCCAGATCACTCTCTTCAGGAGAGTGGTATTCGTTCTTGTTTAATATTTCATTAATATCCTTGATCCCGCGTTTTTTAAAAGATTTTTGATAATCAGGGTGATTCTTCATGGCTAATGCGCCCTTCATCCTTCGATCCCGTTTCTGAAATTAAAATAACTATTAGTAATTTTCAATATTACCTAAAAATTTGGAATTTGATTAACTTACTTCTGATAAACGGTTGATTATATGGCTCATTATTTTCTTTTGTTTTATTTCTGCCTCGTTAAGCTGGCTTTCTTTCCATTTACGTCGGCCATTTTTATGCAAATCCGAGAACACATCCCGAACTATACTTAATGTTGCACGAATACCACGTTGTTCAAGAAGTGATTGGATACGGGGATCAGATCCTTTTCCAATTGTGGTGCAATCTCGCCGAACTTCTTCGTATAATCGATGGAAATTAAATCGATTTTTGCGCTACGAATTAGAATTTTAATTTCGTTCTATAAAATGAAAATTGATAAAATTAATGAGTTTAAACGTCACATAAATAATAAAAATATACCAAAACAAACTTTTATTTCTTTTCGATGCTTCTTATTATATTGTTTTTGTGCTGTCTCTTGCAACGAATGTAGATCTTTTTCAGGGGTATATTCCTCATTGTCTTGTTTATCAAGTTCATCTTCGTTATCGTCATCATCATCATCAACCTGAATATATTCTATTTGTCGATTTTGTCGTGAACTTTCTTGTGAGTTCAGAGAACGCTCCAGCATTTTCTTTATTTGCCCGAACCCAGTGGACATTTGTTCTTGAATTGACGACATTCCCCGTTCAAGTCGTGAAATACGTTCTTAATGTACAAAAAAATAGTAATTTTTAAATTAAGTTTGCTATTTAATCAAAATTTCGAATGATCTGCCAAATTATCCGCCAAAACGTAAATTATACCTTCAGTATCCAGACTTGATGACCTATTTAATCGATTACGATTGTGTATTTGGTCGATGGATTCGGCTGAATTTAAGTGTGATAAAGAGCGAACTGTCTGAATGCCCTGTCCATCACGAGAAGCGTCGATAGATAAAGGAGAATGTAGTGTACGAATATGACGCGTTAACAAACTTCTTTTTTTGGTCATTATCAGAAAAGAAATGAAGTAAAAGCTAGAAATGTGGAAGGAACGAACGTAAAATTGAAGAAACGTAAAGTAAAAAAGAGTTGAGTAAAAAAAAAATTAGAAAGGAACAAAAATAAAATAATTTGAAAATTGTAAAGACGATTTTAATGTAAAGGAACAAAAATTGCAAAATCGACGATTGTATTGTAAAAAAAAAATCACTCTTTATATATTTATTCCAATTAAATGTTTTCTTCGCGTAATTGTTTGAAATAATTAAATAATTTTTGAATTGTTCTATTTTGGTAATCGCTGATTTTGGGAAATAGTTAAATAGTTAAATGATTTGAATTGTTCTATTTTGGTCATCGCTAATTTTGGAATTAATTAGCCAATCGCTAAGTATATTAAGAATATAATTAAGAATAATTTGGAATTTAATATATAAATTTATACTATAAAAAGTTAAACAAGGAGTATACTGAAAGTTAAATTTTATTGTAGATCTGTCAAAATGTAACATATTCACTTTCGATTATATATTGATCTACAATTGATGTATTGATGTTCGAAAAAAAATAAAAATGTATATATAATTGATGTATTGATGTTCGAAAAAAAATAAAAATGTATATACAATTGATGTATTGATGTTCGAAAAAAAATAAAAATGTATCATCTGATTATTTATTACAGCGAAATGCTAGTATTTTGGTTAAATTCACATTTTGTAAAATTAAATCAAAATTTGAATAAATGATGAATGTTAATAAAAGACGTGATAGAACAAGAACTAAAGAAAAATGTTATTGTAATAAATGCAACGGAAAGTATGTTGATCCAAGAACCAAACAAAAACATTTAATAAGTCTAAGTCTTGATGATGCAACTACTTCAAATGACCCAATGAGTATTGAATCGTCATTCGTTAATGAAGAAATCTCTATCGACCCTCAAGAAAGCACATCATCATCAGAAAATTTGTCAACATTTTCTTCGAAAAGGAGAAAACGAAGCAGGTATAATACTTATTTGGACGGAGCGTGACACTCAAATGCAAAATATAAATGACAGTGATGATAACAATGACAGTAACGAAGAAACTGATAATTATGGCGATAGCGATGATGGGGATAATAATGATGATAATGATGATGGGGATGATGGAGATGATAACGATGATAACGATGATAACGATGATGGGGATGATAGCGATGATAACGATGATGGAGATGATAGCGATGATAACGATGATGGGGATGATAGCGATGATAACGATGATGGGGATGATAGTGATAATGGGGATGATGGGGATGATGATGGCGAAGAAACCAACATTTTTGAAGATTACTCTCCACCGAATTATGATTTTCCAAACAATATTAATGAAAATCTGCAAAATATTGAAGATTGGATAATTGTGTTTGTTTTGAAGTATCAAACTAGGTTTCGACTAGCAGATACCGCAATCGATACATTAATTAAATTCATCAAACATATTTTAACAAATTTTAATTACGATCGTTTTAAAGATTTTCCTACTTCGTTGTATACTGCAAGAAAGAAATTAGGATTGAAGCATCAATTT